TCATGATCTGCACCTGAACCCCCAGAATGCCGAAGATGATGAAGAAAGCGCAGCAGATGAGGACGATGTTCCCGATGGGCTTCAGTGACGTGATCAGAGTCTCCACCACCAGCTTCAGCCCTGGAGCTCGACTGATCACCCTGAAAACAACACAGTAACAACACACTGAGAAAACCAGCACAGAACCAGCTCTGAACCTGCTCTGAACCAGCACTAAACCAGCTCTGAACCAGCACAGAACCAGCACAGAACCAGCACAGAACCAGCTCTGAACCTGCTCTGAACCACCACTAAACCCGCTCTGAACCAGCACAGAACCAGCTCTGAACGTGCTCTGAACCAGCACTAAACCAGCTCTGAACCAGTATTGAACCAGCAAAAAAAAACAGCAAAGCACCAGCACTGAGCAAGCAGAGATCCAGCACAGAACCAGCTCTAAGCCAGCACTGTAATATACTATATAGTATCCAGGGATGTATGTGATTTCAAAAGCAGCCTTTATATCCCTGCTGTGTTAATCTACACACGTCCAGTTTTCTGCACTGGGTTCTGGTGGTCCTCACCTGAGTGGGCGAAGCGTCCTCAGCAGCCTCAGCACCCGCAGGACCCCCAGAATCTTGGCTCCACCCGTCATCGACACCACAATGTCAACCAGAGACACAAAGACCAGAAACCCGTCCAGAATATTCCAGCTGCTGCGCAGATACGCCCGCTCACCCAGATACAGACCCTTCGACACCACCTGCACACACACACACAAATAAAATGAGAAATAAAACACCACACTGTGAGTTGGAAAAGGTTAGAAGTGTCAGTGTTGAATAAATTAGCTTTCTATTGATGTATGATTTGTATGCTTTCAAAACTAAAACTAAACCAAGGAAAGCATGTTTTGCAGTACTCCCTATCTCACTCTGACACACACACACACACACACACACACTCTCTCCCTCTCTCTCTCTCCTTCTGCATGATTAGACGCTGAGTTTGGTGTTATTTCAGCGTATCAGGATCAGACCTGTGACCCTCCAGAGCAGCGCTGACAGACCCAGACAGATTCTCTTTCTGGAAACGCTCTGTTCTGACAGTGCCATCACTGACTTTACCGCGGTAAAAGCTGACAGGTACAGCGAGAGAGAAAGAGAGAGAGAGAAGATGTGCAGCGCTGCGTTTGAAGTCAATTTCAGCTCAATGACAGCAGCCTGGACTGAAAACAGCACCGCAGCAGCGCAGGATAACACCAGAACAAACACTGCTAACCACAGCCCAACACTGACGGAGAACACACACGACTAGCAGAGGAAAAACTACAGCTACACTTTACAGTACTGACGCACTCTTACGTGATGCTGAGCTAATGCACCAATAAGAGCTAAAGCATTTATTAATGGTTAATATAAAAAAAATAAAATCATCAAAAACTATGAAATGAAATAAACTAAAAATAAAATGAATCAGAAAATGAATAAATTAATTTAATTAAAATGAATTCAATAATGATTAAATAAATAAATAGCAAAATAATGAAATTAAGATTAAAATAATTATTTAAATCAATGAAAAATAAATAAATAATGAAATAATGAATGACATCATGATTAAAATAAACAAATAAATTAATTAATTTAAGTAATAAATATAAAAAAATCATGATTATAATATATAAATAAATAAATAAACAAATGAATAAATAAATAAATAAAGAATGAATGAAATAATGAATGAAATAATGATTAAAATAAATAAATAAACAAATAATGAAATAAATAATGAGTGAAATTTATTAAAATAAATGAATAAATAAATAAATGAATAAATAAATAATGTATGAAATTGATTAAAATAAATAAATGAATGAATAAATAATGAAATAAATAATGAGTGAAATTATGACTAAAATAAATAAATAAATAAATGAAATAAAAAATGAATGAAATTATGATTAAAATAAATAAATGAATAAATAAATAAATAAATAAATAAATAAATAAAACAAATATATGCTTTTAGCAGTTTTGATTATGTACCCATGTAACTTGTTCTGTTCTGTTGTAATTTTTAGTGTGTCTAAAATATTCTGATTTCCAGTAGTGATGTTCTGCTTGAGGGTTGAAAAGTGTATTTTATTTATGAATTATTATCAATACCATTTATTAATGCACCAGGCAGCAACACATGAACATTCTGCATGATTAATACTTTAAGTAATCACTAAATTGTTGATCGCTAAACGAGTCATAATGAATTCATTCCCTCTTGATCTTGCCCTTTCAGTCAGACTCAAAGCTCATGACCATAGGTGAGAGGAGGAACGTAGATTGACCGGTAAATCGAGAGCTTTGCCTTTCGGCTCAGCTCCTTCTTTACCTCTGCGGACTAGTACATTAATCACATTACTGCTGCCGCTGCACTGATCCGCCTGTCAATCTCACGCTCCATCCTTAATAAGTCTTTTTATTTTAGATTTTTTTGTTGCAATATATTGTTTAAGACACAAATCTACCTCCATAACCCTGTTTATATACACTGCTAAAACAGAAACTGAGCTCTAAGTAAAGACCTGTTCATTAGAGCTCAGCTAAATACACAGCCAGAGTTTCCAGCGCTCTCATTGGCTGATCTGCTAACGAGACTGATGTAAACGAGCTGAATAATGAGAGTGAGCAGAAGCAGAGCCTCTAATGAACACTTTTACAGCTGAACACACTGAATATGCAGTCAGATACAGTCAGGGTCTATATTCAGAATCTCCAGCAGTTTTCTGGCCATTCAGCTCTGCCACTGATGCAGTAAAAATATTCCCAGAACCACACGCTTTCTGACTTTTAGACGTTCTGAAAGAATAAGACTAGCTTACCTGTGAAAATCCCTCAGCCGTGACTCTGCGCTGTGCGTGGCTGCTGTGTGGTTATTAACATGCTCCGGGTCACTGGAATTTAATTAAACATGCTTTTGGCTCTCCAAGTGGTTGCTAAGGGGTTGTGGGTGGTTGCTAGGGTGTGGAGGGATTTTGTTGATTGCGAAAAAGGTGTTTGGAGTTGAAGATGTGTGTGAATGCTCTTCTAGGTTGCTAAGCAGTTGATATGTTGTTCAGGTGGTTGCTATGGCATCGATAAGTCATTACTGGGGGCTTGGGTTGTTGGTAAGTGGCTAATAAAGAGTTCTCATTGGTTGCTAGGGCTTTGATAAGTTGTTACTATGGTGTTTGATTTGTGTTTCGTCATTGGTAAAATATGTGGATTGATCATTTGTTATCAGGTTATTTTCCATAGTTTTTTGTGAGTCAGCGATCGCTATATCCAACACAAAATCAACAAATAGTAGAACATTTTTTGCGATCCATCAAAATTCTTAATTAAAATGCAAAATAACTGGAAAAAAACGTTAAATGATCTCATAAAACATTCACTTTTCAGCCCACACAATGTATATGAGTGTCTCTCAAAAAATGTGGTCTTCTCTGCTCAATCAATGCAAAGACTGGATTAGACATCCTGTGGCGTGAATTGGGCATTTTGTGCATTTGACGCGCTTCACGTTGCAAAACAGTTGGAGCAAGCAGCTTACAATAATGAAGGTTGATTCAAGGATGTAGGACTCTGACATGACCGAATTGAAGGATTATTGCACATTATTTGTGCTTTACATGTATGGCTGCTTATATGATCTGTGTCAAATCGATAAATGTTTTTGTTGGACTCTTTCCCTGCGGTTAATGAGAGAAAACGCTTCCCTGCCATTGACGAGTTTTACAGCAATCCATGTTTTAGGTGTATTGTGGTAGGGGAAGCCTGATCGCATGTACTCAGTGAGGTACATGATGTCAGATGCTCCAGGGAGTGAAATCAGAGAGAAAGTAAGATCGTGGATAAAAATAAGAGTTATAAAGCCTCCGTTTGGCTTAATCCCTACTGTTTTAGATCTGTTTTAGATCTTGTCTTTACAAGAGAACAAAACAAAGAAGCCCATAAAGCATAACATATACACTAAGTAATATGCTAAATTTTATATATATATATATTTATTTTATTTTTATTTTTTTTATTGCAAAATATTCTGCAAATTTCTGGGAATGACCACCACAAAATCAGTCATTTCTATTGCAAAATAAAGCAGTGTAAAACTAGGGGGTCTGTATTTTTCCCTATAGATGTCAATTAATTTTCTTGCTAGTGGCTTTGTTGGTTGCTAGAGTGTTTGGGGTTAATGTGTCATTATTGAGTGCTCTTCTAAGCAGTTGCTAGGTTGTTCAGGTGGTTGCTATGGCGCTAAAAAGTCATTATTTGTATTTCGAGTTCTTGGTAAGTGGTTAATGAAGTGTTCTCGTTGGTTGCTAGGGCTTTGATAAGTTGTTACTGTGGTGCTTGACTGGTGTAATATCATTAATAAAATTATGTGTATTGATCATTTATTATCAGGTTATTTTTTTACTACACAGTGAAACTTTACAGTGAAACAGGTGAAACTTTACCTTGGCCGTCATCTCGGCCACAAAGATGGCAGTGAACACATAGTTGGAGACGGTGAGGAGGACTCGCTCCTGATGGGAGAACAGAGAGAGAGAGAGAGATTGAGGAGAGCTGGAGTTCACTTAAAGAAAAAGAACAAATGTTAAAGCAGCGAGGCCGGCAGCGTCAGCTAATGATACAGCAGTGCGGGAGATGTCAGGCAGGGAATGAGATATGTGACTTTTCCACCGGGGTAAAGTATCCTGTGATTACCACACTGGAAATGTCACGTTCACACGGCAGAAGTGCTCAACTCACTGAAGCAACACAGCTGAGCCTCTGCTGGACTAGTTAACATGCTGATCAACATCCAAATCTACTAATCATCATGCCGCCTCTGAACATTAACACAAGTGCCAGTCGTCTCTATAAATGGTTGCTAGGGTGCACTGGTGGCTAATGCTAGGGTATTACTAGGGTGTATTGTATTGCTGGCTCACTATCAATGAGGTGTTCTTGTTGGTTGCTAAGTGGCTGTTTGAGGGTTGGGGGTGTTTTCTAGAGCATTGGTGACACATTACTGGTGTTTTCTATGATGTTAGCACATAGTTGCTGCATTGATATTGTTGGTTGCTAGGGCTCTGACAAGTCATGACTACGTTTTTCTGAGTTTCTAGTATTAGTCATGGTTGAGGTTGTTGATTGTCAAGTTGTCGCTAAGGTGTAATGGTTGCTAGTGTGTGTTGATTATTACTTTATTCATAGGGTGTTTTGTTGTTTCAAAGATGAAGTGGTTGCTAGGGTGTTTTGTAGATCAATATGACATCATAACATGTCTATGTTTGTTATGCTGGAATACATTATATCCATGGGGTGTTTCATTTTGCTGCTGAGTTTTATTTTAGGTTACCAAGTGGTTGCTAGGGTGTTGTAGTGGTCACCAGTGTGCTATGAGTCATTAGTATAGTGCACGAAGGCCTTAAATGCATTCAAATCTTTAACGTTTAGTTAGCTGTAGTACATTCTGAGGAAACGCTGTCTGCATCTGATTGATTCTGTCGCCGGTTAGATCCTCATCTACACCTCTGTGAGCTGGTCTGACACTCAGATCTGAGCAGATAATTCCAGTGTAATTAAGCCTGGAGTTTCCCGTTCATTTCTCCTCTATGAAGCTCCGTCAAGCTCAAACAGTGATGTGACAGATTTCATGCAGAGCTGCAAATCAGTGTGTCACTCCTGCGAGACGATACGGAGTCAGACGAATGACGAAACCTACCAGGCTTCCCTGATGGATTCTGGGCCTTTCCAGAGCCACTGTGATGCAGTTGAGGAAGATGAACGCCAGAACCACATAGTCAAAGAGTTTATGAGCGATGACAGCCTGACACTTCAGACGAAACCTGCAGAGAGATGAGAGAAATAATGGAGAAATCCCCATCTGATCACTGAACACATCTGAAAGGTCTTTCTTTCTGTTGTGTTTTATTTAGTCATGTCAAAATGTAGTTCAGGTGACTTTTCAGAATGTTTCTACACAGAAAAAAAAGGGTTAATTAAATTGACTAATTTTCTTTAAGATATAGCGGTTACAAACAACCTAAAAGTAAAAAAATTGTAATGTTTAACTTAATTTGTCTGTTTAAACGTATTAAATAATGCAACATTTTCACCAATCACAGTCAGAATTTCTTCACAGGTGTTTTTTATCTGAACAATGCTCTAATAATTATGGAAACACATGTCATTTGCATTTGTTTTATTCTTTTTAGGATTTTCTTCACATTAGGATGGAAACTCAACTAGTATATGTATTTTTCTTTTTAAAATGTTTCAAATTTCCTATTCAGAGGCCCACTGTGTTTTAATTATGGTTGCCTTGATTACTGTTGATTACCAATACTACAGTCAGTGTTTCTAATAATTATAAAAACACACCTAATTTGCATTTATGACTTTACTTTTCTTTTTTTACTCGATTCACTTTAATAAAAACAACAACAATAATAATAATAATAACAATAATAATAGTAATAATAATAATAAAGATAATAATAATAATAATAACAATAATAAAATAATAATAATAACAATAATAATAGTAATAATAATAATAAAGATAATAATAATAATAATAACAATAATAAAATAATAATAATAACAATAATAATAGTAATAATAATAACAATAATAATCCCAATAATAATAGTAATAATAATAACAATAATAATCCCAATAATAATAATAATAATAATAATAATAATAATAATAATAATAATTCCTTACATTTATATAGTGCCTTTCTGGACACCCAAAGTGCTTTACACATGGGGGAATCTCCTCATCCACCACCAGTGTGCAGCATCCACCTGCATGACCCTCCAGCAGCCATATTGGCCAGAACTCACATCACACAGCAGTTGATTGGTGGAGAGGAGACAGAGTGATGAAGCCAGTATGCCATTCAGATGTCCACTGTGTTTTAATTATGTTTGCTTGTTTACTGCTGGTTGCTAGGTTACCAATACTACAGTGAGCAGCTCCAATAATTAAGAAAACACATGTAATTTGCATGAGTTTTTTGCAAACTTTGATTCCGTTTACTTTAAGATGGAATTGTTGGAATATAACTAGAGTTCTTTTCCATATTTGTTTAAAACTTAAAAAAAAAAAAAAAGAATTTTCCCATTCACACGCGCACTATGCTTTCATGATGCTCGTCTTGTTTACTGTTGTCAGCAGATCTAATAATAATTTTAAGAATAATAATTTTTTGCAAACTTTGAAAAGATTCTCTTTACGTTAAAATAGAAACTGTGGAATACCGACAGGTATGAGTATTTTCCATAATATTTATTCTGTACTTTTAAAAACGGACAAATCTTCTGATTCAGATGTGCACTGTGACTCTAGCGGACCCTACGGTGTGTGATTTCTCTGAAACCTGTGTGTTGTTATGAGCTGCTACTGATCTGTAGTGTTCACTAATGGCTTGATTCAGGTTTGTGACCTTTAATAAATCCAGCGACTAAAGAATAGTCTGGCTCTCGCCGCTGTGATCTGATCATAGGAGTGTGTAAATGAACACACGCTGGGAAACTGGCCTGAGACTGCTGTGTTTGCCCTTGTAGAGTCTCTGAACAACTGCACACATGAGTCTGTGATGCACGTATGATACTCTAATCCCCTTCAGCTATTTTTATGCACAGTTTGAATATTGCACTAAATATGCCAAGATGTGCATAATATGTAATAATGCATATAAATTATGTGCTCATTGATGAGTAGGATCAACTATTTGACAAGAAAAAATTTGCATAAACTATGATTGAAACACTGAATAAACTCTGCGCTTGATCATTCTGTGATGTAGTGTATTTCTCAGATGATTTGACAGATATAAATGTGTGTCTGAGGGTCTTTGTGTTATTAATGTTGGTCTGCAGCTCTCCATGTTTCCAGCTTCGCATTGTGTCAGATGTGAGATGTTGCTGTGCTGATTGTGAAAGGCCTCAGCTCTCCGTCATCACAGTGCTTTAGAATTCTTCTTCTACTATTATTCCCTCCAGAACTGTCTTGAGCATCAGTCTGCACTCCCATCTCACGCCTCCAGAAGCCACTGCATTCACCACGTTCATTGCGTTTGGTCTGTCTTCTGAGGTGCAGCCCATTTATTAGAGGAGAACCAACAGCACAGTGGAGAATCCTAACAGTGCAGCAGATCCACTCCTCTCAGTGATATCTGTGCAGGAGCAGCAGGAGCTGAGGAGGCTAGCACTGATGATTTAGGAGATATCACAGTTCTGCAGATAAGTCTAATTCACCTCTTCTGATGGAAACACAGCTAGCGAGCCTCATTTTATACACTGAATCTAAACAGTTAATAAAAGTCTCCTACAGAGCAGCCGAACACCAGCAGATGCTGCAGAGATCAGCGGAGCAGCAGGACGTACAGTCAACACTGATCCATGAAGACTCTTCACACAGGATGTTCTAGTATATATTCCTCTGGAGAAAGTCTCATTTCTTTTAGCTCGGCTGGAATATTTTAATAGGGAATATATTAAAAATATTTGGAATATATAAAAAATGTCAATATTATTCACCCCTTCAGCAATATTAGTGTTGGATTGTCTCCAGAACAAACCACTGTTATACAATGACTTGCCTAATTACCCTAACTTTACCCTAATTACCCTAGTGAAGCCTTTACATGTCACTGTAAGCTGAACACTAGTGTCTTGAACAATATCTAGTCTAATATTATGTGCTGTCATCATGGAGAAGAGAAAACACATCAGTTATTAGAGATGAGTTATGAACACTGCTCTGTAATATGCAGACATACTTGTTCTGAGGGGAAAATAAGTAAATGGACCAGTTTTCTCTCTTCTCACACCAGTCTGGCCGATAAACCTCCATCATCTTCTGGATCCTGAAACACAGGCTCTATGACGCGCACACACACACATACACACACACAAATATGCAGATACAAAAACACACATACAAAGACACAAACACACACAAACAAATCATTTTATTGTCCATCCATCTTTCTATACATCCTTCCATCTGTTCATCCTTTTATTGGTCCATCCATCTGTCCATCCATCCTTATATTTATACATTCATCTGTTAATCATTTTATTGGTCCATCCATCTATTTTTTCATCCGTCAATCTGTTGATCCTTTTATCGGCCCATTCATCCATCCATCCTTCTATTAATCCGTCCATTCATCCTTTTATTGGTCCATCCATCCATCCATCCATCCATCCATTAATCATTTTATCTGTCCATCCATCCATTCATCTGTTCTTCTACTCTAAACTACTATTCATCCACCCATCATCTTTATCCACCCATGCATACACTATCCATTCCTCTACCCTTCTATTCATCTATCCACCTGTTCATTCACTCATCTATCCATCCTATTCATCCTTGCATCTGTACTTCAATTCCTTTATCTATATTATCCAGCCTTCTTGCTTTTCTTTTTGGCTTAGTCCCTTTATTCATCAGGGGTCACCACAGCAGAATGAACCACCATTTATTCCAGCATATGTTTTACACAGCGGATGCTTTTCCAGCTGCAACCTATCACTGGGAAACACCCATGCATTCATTCATAAAACATACACTTCTGACAATTTAGCCTACCCAATTCCCCTATAGCGCATGTGTTTGGACTGTAGGGGAAACCGGAGCACCCGGAGAAAACCCACGCCAACACAGGGAGAACATGCAAACTCCACACAGAAAGACCAACTGACCCAGCCGGGACTCAAACCAGTGACCTTCTTGCTGAGAGGCCACTGTGCCACCGCCTCTATGCACCCCAATACATTGAAGTTGTTCTGCACTCACGTATTCAGTGTCCTCCTCCAGGTCCTTCTTGTCTTTGCGTGCGTTGAGCTGAGGATAGATCTCTGCCAGCAAGGGCCCCTGAGGGCCTGGGGTCTTCCCGTTACAGTCCTGGTGCTCAGCAGACACGCTCTTCTTTCTGGCCAGAGGGGGGCGCTGCATTATTTCTGGCAGATCCAGAGAGACTGCGCGGCGGTCCAGGCGGGACAGGAGATAAGGCCGTGGGAGCAGAGACTGGTGCTCCGTGGGGTGGGAGTGGACACTGCGGACCCTCAAACTTCCCCCGATGACCCCTGCAGACCTCAAACCTCGGCCAGAGCGCCCCGCACTGTTCCAGCTGCTGCGGCGGCTCCAGGATGCCTGAGGGGGAAGAGGACGACCCCAGTTGTGGTAGTGGGAACTGCGGCTGTGGCGCTGCAGAGGGTATCGAGACACAGAGAAGTGTTCATCAATATACTGGTTTATCAATTAATTGGTTGTCAGTGTATCGGTTCAAATCAGTGTATTGGTTCATTAATGTATCAGTTAATCAATGTATCGGTTAATAAATGTATCGGTTCATCAATGTATCGGTTCATTAGTGTATCGGTTAATAAATGTATCGGTTCATCAATGTATCGGTTCATTAGTGTATCGGTTCATTAGTGTATTGGTTCATTAATGTATCGGTTAATCAGTGTATCGGTTAATCAATGTATCGGTTCATTAATGTATCGGTTAATCAGTGTATCGGTTAATCAATGTATCGGTTCATTAATGTATCGGTTAATCAGTGTATCGGTTAATCAGTATATCGTTTAATCAGTATATCGGTTAATCAGTGTATCTGTTAATCAGTGTATCGGTTCATCAGTGTATCGGTTCATCAGTGTATCTGTTAATCAGTGTGTATCGGTTCATCAGTGTATCTGTTAATCAGTGTATCGGTTCATCAATGTATCGGTTCACCAATGTATTGGTTAATGTATTGGTTCATCAATGTGTCAGTTAATCAATGTATTGCTTCATCAATGTATCGGTTCATTAGTGTATCGGTTCATCAATGTATCGGTTCATTAGTGTATCGGTTCATTAGTGTATTGGTTCATTAATGTATCGGTTAATCAGTGTATCGGTTAATCAGTATATCGGTTAATCAGTATATCGGTTAATCAGTGTATCTGTTAATCAGTATATCGGTTAATCAGTATATCGGTTAATCAGTGTATCTGTTAATCAGTGTATCGGTTCATCAGTATATCGGTTCATCAATGTATTGGTTCATCAATGTGTCAGTTAATCAATGTATTGGTTCATCCATGTGTTAGTTCACCAATGTATCGGTTCACCAATGTATCCGTTTATCAATGTATTGGTTCATCAATGTGTTGGTTAATCAATGTATCGGTTCATCAATGTATCCGTTTATCAATGTATCGGTTCATCAATGTGTTGGTTAATCAATGCATCGGTTCATCAATGTATCGGTTCATCAATGTGTTGGTTAATCAATGCATCGGTTCATCAATGTATCGGTTCATCAATGTATCGGTTCATCAATGTATCGGTTCATCAATGTATTGGTTCATCAATGTGTTGGTTAATCAATATATCGGTTCACCAATGTATCCGTTTATCAATCTATTGGTACATCAATGTATAGGTTCATCAATATATCAGTTTATCAATGCATCGGTTCATCAACCAATTGGTTTATTCAATTTATTAGTTCATCAGTCTATAATTTCATTAGTCTATCTATCTATCTATCTATCTATCTATCTATCTATCTATCTATCTATCTATCTATCTATCTATCTATCTATCTATCTGTCTGTCTGTCTGTCTGTCTGTCTGTCTATCTATCTGTCTGTCTGTCTGTCTATCTATCTGTCTATCTGTTTGTCAATGATTGAATGAACAAACATACAAACCAAACAATCTGTTTATGTATTTATCTATATGTTTGTGAATTTATCAATCATCCAATCCATCTGTTTGTCTGTTGATCAACCAATGCATTCATCTATATATCTGTGTCTATAATCCATCTTCAAGTTCAGTCAGTGTCTCTCTCTGTGGAACTGCTGCTGTAGTGCAACAGAGTGAAAAGGAAAACTTTATCTGGAGGAAAATAAAGTGAAGGTGAAAGATCTGATTCCTAACGACACGAGCTCCTTAAACAGTGCAGTTGAGTTAACTTTACCGAGTCACGTGTGTGGGGTGATTGCAGGCGGCGTGTTTCTGATCTCGCTGACTGCATTTGCTCATTTTTAGCAGCAGGAGTGGTTAAAGCAGTTGCCATAGAAATGCGTGTTCTCCGGCGTCGAGCTGTCGTGTTGACCTCACACACAACATACAACGCTTCATATCGACGACCACGGCTGACCGTCATGAAGCGGAGATACGCTACGTTTGATGATGAGTGATGCATGCGGAACAGAACATTTTAATTGAACACTCGTGCATCTGTTGGAAGCGTGTGCGCTCTGATCACTCTCTGTCTGAGCAGTGCGGGATTATAACAGAGTGATGTTCAATTCCCAGAGACTTTTCCCCACCGCAGTCTTGCGACGGCACGTGTCTTCAAGAACAACAGCTCCTCAACACACTATATTTAACCCACGCTCGCCTCTCTCTCTCGCCATACCTCAATTAAAAGAGCGGTTGCCATGGAAACCCAAAAGCCTTGGCTGAGCGTCCGTCACACATTATAAAGAGAATTTCAGTCTCTTGCAAACACAGATTGCTTGAGGGATTTTCTAATTGCTAACCTTTACGGTGCCGTGAAGTGCTTTGAAATGTGCTCTTTTTTGTTTGATGTTTCACATACTCTCAACTGAAACATAAACAGGGGCGGAGCAATTAGTAACTCCTCCCCCTTTTCAAAAATCAGCCAATAGTGTTGTGTTTTGAATCACAGCTCTGCCAGTGAGACTGTTTGAGCTCAAGAGCATCTAATAAACAGCAAATAAGAAGAAGGGGGTGGGGCATGTCAGACACTACAGAGCATCTGATTGGTCTGAAGAACAAATGTCAAAAAATTATGCATTCGTGCGGAAGTGACAAACAGCAATAGTTGAATGTTTATATCTTCTAAATGTGAATTTGACCACTGTTTTTTTGGAGCACACTAGCTTATAGATATCCTTAAGACTAACTTTATTTTGATTTGACTGTTTTCCACCTCCACTAATGTTTCTTGACTCATTATTACATGCACAATCTGATTCTCCACTGACTAACCAGAGAGGAGGATCTCCTGCCCAGGCAGATTGTGCGTCTGCGGTGGTTCTGCTCAGAGAAGCTGGTTCTGGGTTTCTCCTCCGCCAGCGGCTCCAGCTCCAGATGCCCGTTAGGAGTGAGCGAGGGCAGTTTTGGATCTGCAGGAATAAAACAGCAGTCAGCTAAAGCCAACAGCAGATCTCCGCCATCCACACACACTGTAAAGCTCTAGAGAGACACTACTAATGTCTGTTTATGAGCCCCTGATGAGTCTCTCGTCCTCTACAGCCACAGAAACACTGCAGTCCATCAGAAGAGTCAAATAATCCCACAAGATTTAATGTTGTTTCCTTCCCATCACAGCACTGCTCTGCTCTGCTCTTCAGCTGATTAGAGCTGATAGGGTTAATGTTGAGAGTGAATGTTTCATGATCATACCAGAGAACGTGAGCGAGTCTTTGTGCTTTTCACTTCCATTACAGGACGATCCTTCATCTCCATCATCATCATCATCATCAGAGTATGAGCGATTGGCGTCTCCCTGAAACACATTTAAGACAGACGAAAGCCACCACAAACTGAAAACAGGCTTTCTGCACGTTTCCAGTCAAATATGATACCTTTTTAAGACCATTATGAATGAAATTTAAGACTAAGGGCTCTATTTTGACGGTCCATGCGCAGAGCGCAAAACGCAGGGCGCAAACGCTTTCAGGGTGTGTCAGGACGCATTTTTGCTAATTTAAGGACGGGAAATCTGCCTTGCGCCGTGGCGCATGGTCTAAAAGGGTTGAGTTTATTTTCTTAATGAGTTATAGGTGTGTTTGAGAATAAACCAATCAAAGTCTCATCTCCCTTTCCTTTTAAGAGCCAGCTGTGTCGCGCCATAAGCGCATTCACTATTTACAGGACACAAAGTAAGTCTAAGTGAAAAAACTGAGCATTTCACAAGCAAACAGTTCACAGTTCACAGAAAACTGTTAAACAGAGCATCTACTGCGTGAGAATGAGAGATAAAGTAAATACTTTCACTTTCACTCTTAGATAGGGAAACCTTTACGCACAGACATCAATTAGTCTATAAATAATTAATTTTGTTTGTTAAGCGCAAATATTCGTTTCAAAACTATTTCTAAATTCAGTTCTGATTTCCAGCAAACGAATAAATGAATAATAATAACAAAATGTGTTCAGAAACCTGAGTTATATCCTAATACACATGCTGTGCCCCATATGGTCTAAAACCTGACAGGTGGACAAATCTAAGCTTGTTTTTAATAAAATATAAATATGGATATAATAAATAATACTGCTAATAATAATAACATTATACAAAAGCAAATTGTTATGAATGAACTGAAAAAGCCTCCCGAGATGAAGAAGACATAAAAGCAGTGATTTTCCATATTTATGTAGGCTAGAAAATAACATGTTTTGTAATATTTTAATCCTTTATATTTATATTCTATATCTATTCTTATTATATCCTATATATATATATATATATATATATATATATATATATATATATATATATCCTTAATATTTAAATTTTTTCATATGTAAAGATATTTGCCTATTGCTCTCTTGTGTGTATTAAGCAGTGTGTAAGCGAGGTGCAACTCTGCGCTGGAGTTTAGACCGGGTTTGTTTTGGTCTAATGAAAAATCTATTATAGTTTCTCAAAATAGCAACGCTCCAGCGGTCCGCCTCAGAACGTCTTCCTTTTTAGACCAGAACGTCTATGGGCGCACATATGAGCGCTAATGCATTTGCTGTTTAAACAGCGTAGCGCAACGCCTCAAAACCACTCTTGCGCCAAGCTGAAACTACCAAAAGACTACTGCGCCGCGTCTTGCGTCACACTGCGCCGGGTGTATGATAGAGCCCTTAGAAATAAACAATGTTGTTTTTTTTCTATTGGCCTAAAGATTTAACTTGCCTCATCAACAAAAAATAAATAAATAAATAAACTGTATCCAGTGTGTGAATTAGGCCTTTATTCACCGCCGGAGCAGCGTGAGACACTCTTTCTTAAGGGTGGATGAGCTTTATTGGACTTCTTTTAGACTGCTGATAAAGAAATCAGCCAACCATTGAGTCTGCAGAGCTGCAGGAGCCCGGGATGATTTAAAAATAACTGGGATTTGATTCGACTGACAGAAGAGAGTCAAATACCCCCAGCACGCCTCGAGGGTGAATAAATCATGCCACAGCATTCATTTTTTGCGTGAACGAACCCTCGAAGCAGAACATTTTAGGCTGAGGATTGACAGGAGGTGCTGCAAGTGTACAGTATGGTAAAAATGCAGTGTGTTAGTGTATTAGTGTGTGTGCTGGAGTTGTTCACCTCAGCCTGAAAGCCCTCCACCAATATGGCCACCAGCAGATTAAACAGCACATAATTCCCGAACGTCATCAGAGCCACGAAATACAGAGCGGCCAGAGGAGACGTGGAGGCCATACCGTTATACAGCACCACGTTCCAGTCCTCCTGCGTCAGGATCTGCACACACACAGACACACACACACACACACACACACACACACACTGATGTTTGCAGTGTACAGACTGTCTCTCGTCTCCCCCTAAACTCAACCCTCACAGCAAACCATCTGCAAATCTTCACACTCCTCCATTCTGCCTGATTTATCAGCTCTTTCCCTTATGGGGTCCAAAAAATGTCCCCGTAATGTCAGATTTTGCTAGTTATGCTATAATATTGGGGACATTTGGTGAATCCCATACAAATGCATAGACTGGCACAGGCTGAACACACACAGACACACACACAGATGCGCACACACACTAATACACTCTCTCTGTACCTGAAACACAGTGACGATGGCCCACAGCAGAGAGTCAAAGTTCTTGCGGTCTGGAACCGTGTCTCCAGAATCATTCTTCAGACTGAACTTACAGCCAAATATATGCATTCCCAGAATACTGCAGAAACACACACACACACACACACACACACACACACACACACACACACACAGAAAGAGTCTGAACAGATTCTACTCATCAGTCTGAAGATAAAGAGGAAAACACACACACACACATAAGAAGTCTGAAGTGTTTTCTCATCACTCTGAAGAAGAGGAGGAAGACAGAACACACACACACACACACACACACACACACATACACACCTGAAGATGAAGATGAAGAGCATCAGCAGCATGCAGAAAGTGGCCACGTTGTCCATGGTCTTCATCAGCACCACCAGTTGTCTGCGCAGCGCCGGCATAAAGCGCACCAGCTTTAACACTCGCAGCAGCCGGAACGTGCGCAGGATGGACAGACCACCGTCAGACTGACTCACGATCTCACACACACTCAACACACACACACACACGCACACTCTTGGTAAAAACTCTCTCTCAAAAAAATAAAGAAAAGAAAAGCTCCCCTCTCCTAAGTAGCATCACGTTCTCTGAGCACTAACAGTATGATCAGCTCTTGTCGTGTGTGTTGTCTCTTCCTGTTGAATCGCTGAATGCCTCCTTAACTGTAAGTTGCTTTGGAAAAAAAAAGACTAAATGAAAAGTAAAAGTACAGTTTAAAATTTTTTATTAAATTTAGTTATTAAAATAAAATAATTAAAATACAACAAAATAAAAATCATTTAATTGTATTTAGCTATTAAAATAACTACATTAAATAATTTAAATAAAATGTAAAATTAAATAAATGATTAAAATAATATTAAATTACCTCATTAAATAAACTAAAATAAAATATTGTCAAATTAAATAAAAAATGTCAAGTTAAATAAAAAAACGAATTAAATTTTAATAAATTTAATTAAATTAAAATTAATTAGACTCATGCATTTATATTCTACAGTGCAAATCTTTGTGATCAGATTATAAAAATGCGTTTAGCACTTTTAGAGTTTAGCACATTTAGAGTTTAGCACTAGTTGATAAACAGCTGGTCATTTCTGTGTTTGAGTTCCAACCAAAAGGAAAAAAAATCTAATCCCACTAGTCTGATGTAAAATACAATTTAACAGTTTTTTTAAACATCAGACTATTAAACGCACATCGCATCCCCGTGTCATACCTGCCAACACGCCCGTTTTTTTACCGGGAGTCTCCCGCATTTCAGACCCATTTCCCGTTTTGTTTTGTCTCCTAGAAAACTCCCTGAATATTACCCCACCCCACATTATTAGTATTTCAGAATGGATTTTATTTACTATTGACGGAGCCCCATTTTAATCATACGCAATAGCAGAGATGTGCGCTCATCATTATTATTATCATTACCTGATGATGACGATGACTCCGTCGAAGATGTTGTAGGGGTTGCGCAGGTAATTAAAGCAGCCGAATGCAGTCAGCTTCAGGATCATCTCCAGTGCAAACATACTGGTGAAGACAATATTACTGATCTCCAGGACATTAGTGAGCTCCTCTGGCTGCACACACACACACACACACACACACACACACACACACACACACACACACACACGAAAACACACCGTTAGCTGAAGTAATGAACCAATCAGGTGAGCAGCTGCACTGGATCACATGAACTCAACAATATTTAAAAACCTCTGTGTGTGTGTGTGTGTGTGTGTGTGTGTGTGTGTGTGTGTGTGTGTGTGTGTGTGTGTGTGTGTGTGTGTGTGTGTGTTTGTGAGTGATTGAGTGTAAGAAAATGTGTGTGTCTGTGTGAATGTGTTTGTGTGTCTGAGTGTTTCAGAGAGCGTGAGTGTGTGTGTGTGTGTGTGTGTGTGCGTATGCATGAGTTTTTAAAAAGAGAGTGAGTGTGTGTGTGTCTCTGTGCATGTGTTTGTGTGTGTGTGAGTCTGTGCGCGTGTTTGTGGGTGTATGAGTGAGTGTATGAATGTTTGAGAGAGTGTGAGTGTTAGTGTGTGTGAGTGACCATAAGTGTGTGTGCGTATATGCATGTATAAGTTTTTAAAAAGAGTGTGAGTGTGTGTGTGTGTGTGTGCATGTGTTTGTGTGTATGAGTGTGTAAGAGTGTGTGTTTGCATGTTTGTGTATGAGTGAGACTGTGTGAGTACGAGTGTTTGAGTGAGTTTCAGAGTGTGTGTATATATGTATGCGTGTGAAAATATTGTTTATGTGTGTGTGTGTGTGTGTGTGTGTGTGTGTGTGAGACCTGTTGGTGGTGCTCTATCCCCATGCTGATGGTGTTGATGAGTATGGCCACCATGATTCCTCTGTTGAAGTATTTGCTCTCCACGATCCCCCACAGTTTGACCCTCGTTTGCATCCAAAGCTCTCGGCTCCGCCTCTGACACGCCCCCTCCTCCTCATCCGCCTTCTCACAGCTGTCTGCTTCCTTGGCCGCCACCTCCTCTGGCTCCTGATTAGCTGCTGAGGCGGTGGGTGTGGCCTCATCTGTAGTGAGAGAAGAGCTTAGATGTGCATCATCATAAACCATCAACACACAAACAAGTGTGCACACACACACTCATTACACACATGCTCTGTTTGAAACACTTGTTAAACTTGCTGCTGATGATCGCAGAGCGCTGAACAGATCTTTTAACACGTTTCTTTGCAAATCCTGCTCACGTTGCTATGGAGACATGTTAATACGCGCCTGTCCATCAATTCAGTGGGCGGGGAAAACCGCTCTCCTACATCACGCTGTGGTGATAACGAGCTAGTCCTCACCCTGCGTCTGTCGGCTCTTCTCTCCGCCGTTGATGTTGGTTTTGCTCTGGTTCTGGTGTGTGTTCTGGCTGCGCCGTGTGTGTGTACGGCAGAGCAGTGTGAGGCAGCGGCGGCGGCACTTGCGCAGCACGTGGCACAGCAGCTGGAAGATCTCCTCGTAGCAGTTTCCAGCCTCCGCCATGGAGCTGAGAGTGCTGCAGGAGCCACGGACCGCTTTCTGCTGCTGCATCAGCATGTGCTCGCGCTGCTTCGTCTCCGAAAACTGCGTCGCGATCACCACCAGACACAGGTTTATCATGAAGAACGAGCCCACCTGAGGACCACAAACACACCAATGCATTTACAGTGTGTGTGTGTAAAAATGCATGTAAGAGTGTGTGTTTGCATGAGTCCATGTGTGTGAGTGTATGCATACTTGAGTTTGTCAAAATGTGAATGTGTGTGTGTGCGTGCATGTGTGGGTTTGTGTGCGTGTGTGTGACCACTAGACACAGGTCTATCATGAAGAACGAGCCTACCTAAGAATGACAAACACGCCAATGCACTTGCAGTGTGTGTGTGTGTGTGTGTGTGTGTGTGTGTGAAAATGCACGCGAGTGTGTGTGTGTGTGCATAAGTCCATGTGTGTGTGCATGTGTGTCAGTGTTTGAGTATGTCACACTCTGTGTGTGTGTGTGTTTGAGTGAAAGCAAATGCGAGTATGTCAGTGCTTTTGAGTGTGTGTGTGTGTGTGTGTGTGTGTGTGTGTGTGTGTGTGTGTGTGTGTGTGTGTGTGTGTGTGTGTGTGTGTGTGTGTGTGTTTGAGTGAAAGTAAATGCGAGTATGTCAGTGCTTTTGAGTGTGTGTGTGTGTGTGTGTGTGTGTGTGTGTGTGTGTGTGTGTGTGTTTGAGTGAAAGTAAATGCGAGTATGTCAGTGCTTTTGAGTGTGTGTGTGTGTGTGTGTGTGTGTTTGAGAGAAAGTAAATGCGAGTATGTCAGTGCTTTTGAGTGTGTGTGTGTGTGTGTGTGTGTGTGTGTGTGTGTGTGTATGTGTGTGTTGTGTGTGTGTGTGTGTATGTGTGTGTGTGTGTGTGTGTGTGTGTGTGACCACCAGACACAGATCTATCTTGAAGAACGAGCTTATCTGAAGAACACAAACACAATAACGTGTTTACTGTCTGTCTGTGTGTGTGTGTGTGTGTGTGTGTGTGTGTATGTGTTTACTTACTATAATCAGCAGAATAAAATACAGGAAGTTGTAGAAGGAGTGAGCATCCATCACATAATACATGATCTCCACCCAGCCCTCCAGAGTAATGACCTAAACACACACACACACACACACACACACACATTAACAGAAAGCAGTTTTATCAACTACCACACAACCATAACTGACAGATGCCAATCCAGGTGTATCTGACGTTGTCGAAGAGACACACACCCACACACTCCTGCAAATACACACAAGCAGAAAACACTCCAAACACAACACAAGGACACCTGAAAGATGACGATCCAGGCGTATCCGATGTTGTCGAAGTTGATGGCTCCTTTGTGTGGGTTTTTGTGTCCGGTTTGGCAGCGAGTGTAGTACTGGTGCCAGTTCACACACAGACCGGGCGGGATGGCGCTAGCATTGGGCACAGGTTCGAGCAGGATCCCCGGGACCTGATGGTGCATGGGTTCGAGCAGGATGCCCAGGGTCTGATGGTGCAGCAGGTCGTCCACATCCAGACAGCACTGGTGTCCAGCCAGACGGCGCGCCGGCACATCCCTGCAGGACATGATGCCATTATCCTGCGGCAGAGAGCAGATGAAGGGCCGCTCGTCCTCCACATCCAGAGCGTAGTATGGAGCCGGAAGAGACACGCCACTGGAACTGTACGGTCAAAACAAAACAATTACAAAAGACACTAAATCCTTTTTAGAAATAGACTCATTTTTGTGGTTACTATGGTAGGCCGTTAACTCGTTAACTAATTTTGGAAAATTTACAATAACAATAATAAAGATGATGAAAAGAGTTGAAGGTAACAGAGTTGACGATAACAGAGCTGATGATAACGGAATAGAAGATAATGAAGTTGACGATAACAGAGCTGACGATAACGGAATAGAAGATATTAAAGTTGACGATAAACAGAGTTGAAAATAACAGAGTTGACCTTAACAGTTGCCAATAATGGAGTTGAGGATAACAAAGTTGACGATAACGAAGCTGACGATAACAAAGTTGCCGATAATGAAGTTGACCATAACAGAGTAGACCATAACAGTTGACGATAACGGAGTTGCCGAGAACAGAGTTGAAGATAATGGAATAGAAGATAATGAAGTTGACGATAAACGAGTTGACATTAACTGAGTTGACCATAATAGAGTAGAAAACAACAGTTGACGTTAACGGAGTTGCCGATAACAGAGTTGACAATAACGGAATAGAAGATAATGAAGTTGACGATAAACAGAGTTGACCATAACAGTTGACAATAACGGAGTTTACGATAACAGAGTTGACGAAAACGAAGTTGCCGATAACGAAGTTGACTATAATAGAGTAGACTATAACAGTTGACGATAACAGAGTTGTCGATAACCGAGTTGACAATAACGGAATAGAAGATAATGAAGTTGATGATAACGGAGTTGACCATAACAGTTGACAATAACCGAGTTGCCGATAATGGAGTTAACGATAACGGAGTTGACGATAACGGAGTTGACGATAACGGAGTTGACGATAACAAAGTTGACGATAACGAAGTTGACCATAAATAGAGTAGACCATAACAGTTGACGATATCGGAGTTGCTGATAAGAGTTGACGATAACAGAATAAAAGATAATGAAGTTGACGATAACTGAGTTGACTATAACAGTTGCCGATAACGGAGATGACGATAACGAAGTTGGCAATAACCGAGTTGGCGATAATCGAGTTGACAATAAACAGATTTGACGATAAACAGTTGTACGCGTGTGTGTGTGTGAGTTAGAGTGAGTGTGTGCATGATGTCGATAAAATGTAAAATAATGCAAAATGCTTTGTGAATGGGAACATCTCATTCTAATTCTAACTATTTCCTAAATAATTGCACACTTGCACTCCTTTATGCTAAGCACTGTAGATATTATATATACTTCTATGATTTTTATATTCATACAATTTTAAATCTTAATTTTTCATATAGTTTTACCAAATTCATGGCATGCATTCTGGGATTCTGAATGGCCAAAACTGAGGAGTTTTTACAGTTCAGAACAACCTTCAGTTTGAGACACTAAAGATGCTCCCTGAACAGTCTGCTCAGTAGGGTTTAGAACGGAGCCAGAGTTTTCATCATAAATGTGTTTGCAGTGATTTTCCAGGGTTTCTGGGGAATATGAAGACCAACATCCCAGAGCACACAAACACACACACACACACACACACACACACACACACACACACACACACACACACACAGATGAACAGAGCGAGCGGGTCAGAGGTTTTATTAGCGCTCCGTCTCTATGATCATAAAGGTGGCACTCAGACGCTTTTAATAAACGAGAGAGTGCAAACGCACAGATCAAACACACAGAGCAAATGAATGATATTCAGAAGATTACAGAGAACAAACATCATCAAAGAGAAGCGCAGAGTTCATTCATCTCCATCATATAAAGCTGATCTGAGGACAGCAGATGCCGATGCTCATCTATTCACAACACTCAGCAGGACTGCTTTAAAAAAATTCACTAACACTTCAGTTTAAAGACCAATTCTTACTAATAACTAGAGGTTTTTACCTCCCAATTATTAAGATATCGACTGTTTATTAATACATATAAAGCACATATTCTGAATGATCGCTAATCCAACACCTATTACCTTAATAACTGTTAATAGGCAGCAAATTAAGAGTTTATTGATGCAAAAATATTAGTTAATGTTTTACTAAAAGTGAGGATTGTACCTTAAATATAGTGTGACAAAAATTTTTTATTTAATTCAGATATTGTGTGTTAAATTGATCAAAAGAGGCAGTAAAGGCATTTTTTTATTGAATCATTTCTCAAATGCATGACAAGATCAGGGTCAGTTAAAATTCTGACATTTTACATCAAATTTCTTTATTTTTAGTTTGTCAAAAATCCAAAATTGCCACTAAAATCACAAAAATGTAATATATTTTCTATTCTATGAGAACTATAATATAATATAATATAATATAATATAATATAATATAATATCAAATTTTTATAATGTAAAATATAATATAATATAAACTAAAATAATATAATAGAACATAATATAATACAATATAATATAATATAATATAAAATAATATCAAATTTTTATAATGTAAAATATAATATAATATAAACTAAAATAATATAATAGAACATAATATAATACAATATAATATAATATAATATAATTTAATATAATATAATATAATATAATAGAAAATAATAATATAGAAAATAATAATATATAAGATAAATTAATAGAACAGAATAGAATATTATATAAAATATTATAAATTATATAATACAATATAAAATATTACAAAATAATATAATATAATATAATATAATATAATATAATATAATATAATATAATATAATATAATATAATAAAAAAAAAACTGTGGCATGTTGGCTCAGTGGTAAGCTCTGTGGCCTTTCAGCAAGAAAATCTCTGGTTTGAGTCCCGGCTGGGTCGGTTGGGGTTTCTGTGTGGAGATTGGATGTTCTCCCTGTGTTGGCGTGGGTTTCCTCCACGTGCTCCGGTTTCCCCCACATTCCAGACACATGCACTATAGGGGAGGTGATGAACTAAATTGGCTGTAGTGTATGATTGTGTGTGTGAATGAGTGTGTATGGGTGTTTCCCAGTACTGGATTGCGGCTGGAAGGGGCATCCACTGTATAAAACATATGGTGGAATAGTTGGCGGTTCAGTCCGCTGTGGTGACCACTGATAAATAGGGGACTAAGCCGAAGGAAAGTGATTGAATGTTAAATAAAGGAGCGGTGAATATATTTACCAAGAAATGTTGTTTTATTTCTCTATTTTTGATCACAGCAGTGGAATCCTGGTGAGCAGAAGTTTTACACACAAACACACACACACACACACAGTTTTGTCTGCAAGCAACTGTGTGTGTGTGTGATCTCTGCAGGAGTCAGTCAGTCAGCATAGAGCTGCTGTTCTGGGTTCAGTGGGCTCTGCTAAAGACCGATGGGACGGAGAAGTGTTATAAATAGAGCTGAAGTAAGGCAGGAGATTAGAGAAGCAGAAGATCGTGGGAACACAACACGACTGCGAAACAAGACGAGGAACGTCTTCAATAAAACTCACAACACGGCAAAGTAAACAAACTAAACTAACTCACAGTGGAGCAGAGGCGTAGACAAGCCACTTCTGTCAGACATAAATAAAGGTACAAACGCTGTCGGTGGGGCGGACACTTCAGGTGCAGTTTTGTATAAAGTGGAATCAAAAAATTAGTATCTGAATATTTTGCAATAAGGTGCAGCACTGTACTGATGTAGTGACAGCTTTAATTCTGAGAGCGTCTATTGTGACACAGCAGTGAAATTCATTATCGAATAACATACATACATACATACATACATACATACATACTTACATACATACATACATACATACATACATACATACATACATACAAACTTAAGACTGAATGATGAAAAAGTGGGCGTGGCTATTTTGAGAAGAGGTGGAGCTAACCTTGAGTTTATGGTTGGCTGGGCGGGGTTTGCAAATGAATGACTGTAGACCTGCATATATGGATGTATATCCCAGTAAACAGGATTTGAAATTGCATTTTCCATATGTGGACGCATGAAATGTGCATAAATAACTACATGTCATTTGATTGGCAGGTTTCAGTGTAGCCATCAGAAATTCAAATGCAAAAGGATTTGGGATTCCATTTGAGTTTTGGCAGGTTACATGCACAACGCGGAGAAAAGAAAAAGCAAATGAAGCAATTAACATTGCTCTTTAAATATGTCAGGCTCACAGCAGAGAAGACATGGGAAATGCATTTGCAAATAGACTTTTTTCATTTGAAATACGGCAGTCACTGCACAATCGCAAAAGCGGAAATTCACACGGTATTGCAGGATTTGCAATTAAATTTGGATTATGACACACGTGTCCACATAGGGAAATTCATTCATTCATTCATTCATTCATTTTCTTGTCGGCTTAGTCCCTTTATTAATCTGGGGTCGCCACAGCGGAATGAACCGACAACTTATCCAGCATATTTTTACACAGCAGATGCTTTTCCAGCCGCAACCCATCACTGGGAAACATTCACGCACACTCACAAACACTACGGACAATTTAGCCTACCCAATTCACCTGTACCGCATGTGTTTGGACTGTGGGGGAAACCGGAGCACCCGGAGGAAACCCACGCAAACGCAGGGAGAACATGCAAACTCCACACAGAAACGCCAACTGAGCTGAGGATTGAACCAGCGACCCAGCGACCTCCTTGCTGTGAGGCGACAGCACTACCTACTGCGCCACTGCGTCGCCCACATAGGGAAATTGCGTTAGTAAACTGACCGGGAAAACATCCAGACTGATATTTTGATTAAAAAGAATGTTACTTTCAGTTTTATTACTTAATTCATGAGCCAACAACTTACAGAGAGCACTTCTAACTTATCTTTGTCAAAAAATAATTGTGCACGTTTCTTCATGTAGGCGTGGGTTTCCTCCGGGTGCTCTGGTTTCCCCTACAGTCCAAAACTAAATTGGCCGTAGTGTATGAGTGTGTGAATGAGTGTGTATGGGTGTTTCCCAGTACTAGGTTGCGACTGGAAAGGTATCTGCTGTGTTAAACATATGCTGAAATAGTTGGCAGTTCATGCCACTGTGGCGACTCCTGACGAATAAAGGGACTAAGCCGAAGGAAAATGAAGGAATGTTTGTTCATGTTGTGTATGTGTCTGTCTGTGTGTGAGTGTGTGTGTGTGTGTGTGTGTACGCGCATCTTTGCTTTAGTATTTTATTTCTGGTGACTCTCTGCTGTTCTCCGTGCTGAAACACACTCTCTCCATTATCACATATGTGACACAACAAGGTCAAAGACATAATTCTCCCAGCAGCGCCTGCTGTACGCCATCACTCCTCACACACACAACATTACAGGAGCCCCATATTTCACCACCCAATCAACACACACACACACACACACACACACACACACAAACATATATATATATATATATAATGTATAGCACAAAACACACTTAAAATCAGAGCGTATAATATATTTAAAAATAAAATCAACATTGAGATATATACTTACCGGCCACTTTATTAGGTACACCTTACTAGTACCGGGTTGGACCCCCTTTTGCTACTCAGAGCAGCCCGTCTGGCAGCAACTATGCCACATTCAAAGTCACTTAAATTCCTTCTCCCCCATTCTGATGCTTGGTTTGAACTGCAGCAGATCGTCTTGACCATGGGCTGCGTCCGAAACCGCATACTTCCATACTATACAGTACGCCAAAATCAGTATGCGAGCCGAGTAGTATGTCTGAATTCATAGAATTCGAAAATCAGTATGCGAGAAGTACCCGGATGACTTACTACTTCCGGCGAGATTCCGGAGTGCGCATCCCATGCATGCTGCGCTATCCCATGATGCCCCGCGAGAGAATTCATGAATGGAAGTAAAGCGACGCAACTGACGCAGGTAGGTCAAGTGACCATGACAAAATGGCGGATGTAGTACGTCCGAATTCCATTCATACTTTTCACATTCATACTGTATAGAACGCACTTTTCTAACGGCCGAGTAGCACGTTTAAATTCAAATGCAGTACCTACTGAGTAGTAGGCGGTTTCGGACGCAGCCCATGTCTACATGCCGAAATGCAGTGAGCTGCTGCCATGTGATTGGCTGATTAGAAATGTACGTTAACAAGCAGCTGGACAGGTGTACCTAATAAAGTGGCCGGTGAGTATAACTTGTTGCAATAAAACTCGTGGTGTTAATATTTTGGTAGTGTCAGTGAGTCAGTGGTATCAGTAGGTTAGTAGTGTTGGAGGGTTAGTACTGTTAGTGGGACTGTAGTATTGATGGGTTAGTTGTATAAGTGGGTTAGTAGTGTCGATGGGTTAATAGTGTCAGTGTTTGAGACTCACAGTGTGAAGTTCTCCTCCGGGTAGCAGCGGTTTCGCAGGAGTCCCGCCCACAGCTGAACGCCGATGATGCCGAAGATGAAGAAGACGAAGAAGCAGAGCAGCAGCACATTCCCCAGCATGGGCAGCGTGTCCAGCAGCAGGTTCACCAGGATCCTCATGCCTGACACAACAGCAGCAGATTAAAGCCATAGTTCACCATGAAGGAACATTTACAGACAGTTTACTCTGAATCTTCCTTCAAATCTCAGCTCAGCCTTTCTCCATTGCTCCTTCAACTTGAGTGTACGCTGTAAAACTTTACAGGAGCGTCATCTGGAGACAGACTGTCTGACATGTGAAGAGCAGCGCAGGCGTTTGTGAGTGACACTCCTGCTCTGATCATCCTGCAGGACTGAATCTGCAGCTCCAAACTCTGTTTCTACAGCAGAGAGCTGACGGAGAGAGCTCAACAACTAAGCACACTCATTCATCACACTCACACTGCACTGAGAGCCACTTAGCATCCAGAAACACACTGACACAACTCAACAGACTGACACACACACACACAAATCCTCAAGTCAGAGCTCAAGGGGATGAGGATTAATGCTCTTCTTATCTCATATATATATATAAATAAATGTAAATATTTGAAGGCACTTTGTTATTCTGGTTATGTACCATTATGTGTATATCTGTACTGAACCCAAAGCTGAAAGCAGCTTTTATAAGGTGGGAAATAAATGATGTCTGCTCAACAATCCCCACTCGAGCTCTAATCCCGCTAATGGAGGAGTGTGTGCTCGTCTGGGTGTTTTGTTGATGTGCTTTTATCATGTTCAGGTTCATCTGCAGGTCCAGTGTTTAATCCAGCGTCTCATCAGCTAATGCTCCTCTGCAGATCCTCAGGAGGTTTGAGTCTCCTTTCACACAGAGACACACTGATGATTCACTCACACTCAACTGAATCATCTGACACGGACTTACTGGTTTGCCACTGGTGACTCAACCATGCTCAGCTGAATCATCTGACTGAGAGACTCACTGATTTAGCACTGATGATTCATGCAACCTCTACTGAATCATCTGGCTGAGTGATTCACTCTCTGAGACTCACTGATTCAGCACTGAAGCTTTACTTATGCTCAACTGAATCATCTGAATTAAAAACTAACTGATTCATAACTGAGGTTTTACTCATGCTCAACTGAATCATATGACTCAAAGACTCACTGATTCATCACTGATGCTTTACTCAAGCTTAACTGAATCATGACTTAAAAAAATCACTGATTCAACACTGATACTTTACTCAAGCTCAACTGAATCATGACTAAAAGACTCACTGGTTCATCACTGATGCGTTACTCAAGCTCAACTGAATCATTTTACTTAAAGGCTCACTGATTTAGCTCAGATGATTCATTCACACTTGTCTACAGAATCAACTGACTCCACAAGGACACTGGCTCAGTTTGAGAGACTCACTTAATAACACTGGTGATTCACTGACACTCAAATAAATCATCTGACCAAGTAATTCACCAACACTGATAGTTTACTGATTCAGCACTGATGATTCATTCACACTCCACTGAACCATCTAACTATGTGGTTCACTAATTCAACACTGATGATTCTTTTACACTCTACTGAATCATCTGAGTTACTCTGAAAGATTTACTGAATCAGCACTGATGATTTATTCACACTCTACTCAATAATCTGACTGAGTTACTCACAGATTCACTACTGATGATTCAGTCACACTTATCTGACTGAGTGACTCACTGATTCAACACTGATGATTCATTCACACTCAACTGAATCATCAGATTAAATGACTCACTGGGGACTCTGTTGATGGCTTTGAGCGGCCGCAGGACTCGCACCGTCCGGATCGCCGTCAGATTGATGTCCTGCACATCCAGTGAATACTCCACCACCCTAAACACACACACACACACATTTAATACACACATTTAGACTGTCAATCACAGTACAGCTTGTGTTTTCTGCATCCCCTCAATCACACACAGCTGCTATGATGAGCTCTGACATCTGATCATATGCTCAACACATTCACATACATGCAAACACACACACACACACACACGTCAGAGCTGGCGTTCATTACTGATCTCCATCTGTCCTGCTTTTACACACTGATCACAAGATGTGCTACTGTACACTCGCTTCCTTTATTTGATCAAATGCAGCAAAACTGTGAAATATGATGGCAATCTAAAGCAGATGTAAAGCTGAATTACCCTGATCCTTCACAAATCCTCCTGATATGATGATTTAATGATCCAGAAACATTCATGATGATTATTATTGATGTTGAAAACAGTAGTGCTGTGCATGAAGTGCTGCTTCATGTTTTCATGGAAACTGTGACGCAGGTCCTTTATCAGGATTCACAGATCAATATTATATAGAGAAATAAGTCTGCAGCATAATATAATATTGTTTTTATTCCAGATACGCTAATAGAATTAAGACTTTCACCTGAAGAAAACTACGACAGGAAATACTGTGATGAACAGTCCATTAAACAGCACTTGGGAAATATTTGAACTATAATCATATTTCACAGGACGGCGAATGATGGTTCTTTACCTGCTTTCTATTGCTTACAGTTATTTTTGTTAATATAGTTTAATTATATATTTTTTTACAATAACATTGCTTTAAAATGGGATCAACTCCCTGTTTATGCATAGTTAATAACATTTACACTAACATATTTTAGATGCATGACAAAAGTTCTTTTTTAAATGCCAATATTTTTAAAAGAAAAGGCTTGTTGAATTAAAAAGTCCATGTATACAGCTATATTTAGCTGGGTTTGACACATTTAAAATGTGTGGTTAAGAAATAAGAATTTATTTTTGGTGTGGTCAGAGATCAATTTGGTAAATTCTTAATTTTGCGCAATGAAAAGTCATGTGAAATAAAAACTGATGGCAATGCAACACGACACATTTGCATACACAACACACACAAAAAAATGTAATTAATGAGGAGTCATGTGGAAATAACACAAAATATAAATCAGGTCATTTTAATATATAAATTTATGTGTATAAAATATATATTTCCCAGCACCAAAAGTGAAAATGGCGAGAGACTGGTAATGTTGAAAAACTACTAGCCACAGTGGCTGCTGATCAAAAAAGTTCATGTCAAGCCTTGCAAGCAACATCTTGAACACCTGAAATGTATTCTCAGCAACCCATAAAAACATTGCATAGGAATTTATACAAATTAAAATGATTAATAATAATAATAATAATAATAATAATAATAATAATAATAATAATAATAATAATAATAATAATAATAATATAGCTAATGAATCAAATATTAATAATTAATAATGTAATAAACCTGAACTAAATGTGCTTGTAAAATATTTTAAAAGTAAAAACAGAAACTATTACTCTGCTAAAATAATAGACATTTTAGTAAATAATACTAATATTGGGTAAAGTACAAAGCACTCTTTTGAAAACTACTCAGAGTACTTGTTAGTTACTTTTGAAAATACGTCAGATTTTCATTACACACCTTTTTTAAGGTGTAAACTTATTTGAATGGTTTCATTGCTTAATTCACAAATCTACATATATAGGACATTGCAGATTTTTCCTTTTATGACAATTAATCTTTTTATTAATTGCACTGGCAAAACTACCACATGCTCCATAGAGACACTTTCTGTCCATTTGACCTCTTTACCCCTTGTGTGAACCCTGGGAAACCCAGGCCAACATGGGGAGAACATGCAAACTCCACACAGAAATACAAACTGGCCCAGCCGGGACCTTCTTGACACTATTCACCCACACTCAACACTACTAACCCACAGTGCTGACCACTGAGCCACAATGCCACTCATGGCTGTATTGTCAGATTTTTCTCACCCTGCCATCACGATGAAGAAGTCCAGTCTGTTCCAGGTGTCTCCCAGATAGCAGCGATGCCCGAAGATGCCCAGAGCCAGCATCTTCACCACCATCTCCAGTGCAAAGAAGATGTAGATGAAGGCGTCAAAAGCCTGCAGACAAACCCAGATCAGATCCACACTGCAAAACTGCGTCTCTTTCTTACAGCTTGTGTCTTGTTTCTAGTCCAAATATCAAAACACTCCTAAATCAGTCATCATTTTCTAGATAAGCTCAAAATATAGTCTTGTTTTCAGAAATAATGAGACAAAATGAAGTGAGTTTCTCCTTAAAACAAGCACAATAATCTGCCAATGGGGAAGAGAAACGATATTGTGTTTTTGCTTTAAAATAAAAACACACCAAAGGGAACCTGGCAACGCAAAGACTGAGCAGAACATCACTGAGAAGTCTATTAGAAGGGTATTTTGTGTGCAGAAAGTCAGTCAGTTCTTTAACACATATACTGCACCTATAAATGTGTGTATAGGAATCCAGCAATTGAATAAGGAAATAAAATTGGGCTTCTTTTCACTCATTTTGGGTGGGTTTTGGGTTTTTATTGAGCTGTAAAACGTTTCTGGATCTGGCAACCCTGATTGTGTGTGATATTAAGGTTTCACTGCAATAATGCTTTTGTCTTGTTTCTAATCCAAATATCTAAAAACTCTTAAAATCAGTCAGCATTTTCTAGACGAGCGCAAAATAAAGTTTTCATAAATATTGAGTCTAAATAATGAGTTTTTCCTTAAAACAAGCAAAATAATCAGACAATGGGGTGAGCAAAATAAGCTGTTCACAAATCGAATAACAAGATAATTTTGCTCGCCCCATTGGCAGATTATTTTGCTTGATTTGAGGAAAAACACTTCATTTGGGCATATTATTTCTTAAAACAAGACAATATATTTTGCTGGTCTAGAAAATGCTCTTTGATTTAAGAACTTTTAGATATCTGGACTAAAAACAAGACAAAAAAATCTAAGTAAGAAAAGCATTTTTTGCAGTGTGGGGTCATATTAAAGTCAAAAAAATATTTAAAAAAACATTGTTAAAGGGTTCTTTCTGCTGTTAAAATGGCACCCAGGTCATTTTTTTGACTCCTGAGTCAACAGGTAAAGTCTAGAAGGGATACAGCTGAGGACATTCACATCAATATAGCAGAATTTTTGTCAAACTGTACAACAATTAATATTTGTTCATTACTGTCAGGGTTGAAACTAGGGTAGTAGTAGTGGTAGACGTTAATAAAATAATTGGAGTAATTTAATGAATAATATAATAATACTACACATAATTACTGTAATAAAATACAATTGAATGGGTAATTTCATAAAAAATCTAAATAATATTCTGTATAATTACTGTTTTTACATTATGATGGTAGGGGTAGATAATAATAAAATACAATTAAATGATAATTTAACCAATAACAAATAATTCTTGTTAACTTCCAGCCAGAGCTGTATCCCTTCTAGAACAACCCATTCAACAGGAGGGCTAAATAACATTCATGACTTCTGTGTGTTCAAGTGCCTTTAAAATGTAGAAATTGTTGTATAAAATGTAAAATCAGTTGTGTAAAATATAAAAGCACTGACCTGCAGGACCTGACAGCGCTCAGATGAGCAGTTGATGTTCTCACAGGGCTGATACATGCCTAAAGTCACACAGTTGAGGAGGATGACCAGCATACTGACCCGCTCGAACCATGTGCAGCACACTGAGTCAAGGAGAACAACCACACAACTACACAAACAACATTAACACAATGACACAATCACCAGCAATCTATGCTTGCAGATCACTGGTATACTTGCAGATCACAACAAGGACTACAAATCTGCCGGTATATGGACTACAAGTTCCAGTCATGCACCACACTCACTCACACAGCTGAAGCTGCTCATGGACTGACTACAGGTCTATTTTCACAGCACACACATACGCATCATGGCTGAGTCTTGCTTAATGGTTTCTTTGTGAACATTACAACCCATTTCGGTAACACTTTATAATAACTACACACTATAAATCATTTATTAAGCATTAGCAAATAGTGAATTCATTATCCGTTAGCATTACCTCTACATTAATAAACGTTAGTAAGCAGTTAATAACTGCAGCTACCAATGCTCTATTCTTGACTTATAACCACATTTAAAATGTGCTTAATAATTGTATTTTCATACTTAGTAAATGATTTATTTTTCATTACTAAATTAAGTATTGCATATTTACAAACCAGTTGTGTTTAAGAGTAGTTGAGGGTTTTTAGGATCATTCACCTCCCTAAACGAACCGCACCAAAAGGGGAAACGAACTCTAGTGCGATTCAATCGAACTAAATAAGGCAGGTGTGAAAGCACCCAAGGACAACAGATAACTCCATAAAGCTTATGTATTTCTTGTATAGAATTGTCATTAATATTCATGTAAACGATTGCTTATGTGATCTTTGCATATCACTGCAGTTGTGTCTTTATTTACATTGTTTTTCAGTTACATTTAGGATTGATTTCTGTTATTTATTAGGAAGATTAATTATATATGAATAATAATATTTGGCCGTATATTGGCTAGTACTGGGTTGTGGCTGGAAGGGCAGCCGTTTGGGGTGGTTCGCCCAGGCTGCTATTTAAACTAGAACCGCCACTGAACACAAACAACACAATTAACACAACAAACAAAACCAACATACACAATATAACTAGCACAAACACCAAAACCAACACCATTACACATGACACAATCTTTTCATTCATTTTCTATTCCAATTACACAAGCGTGTGTTAAAGCAGCTCAGAGAAACGTGTGGGAGAGTAAACAGTAAAGACACAGGTGGGCAATGAAGATGATCTACAGCTGGAAGAACACCTCCTCAGCTGAAACACACACTCATCCTGCAGCTCTCTCTCACACACACACACATCCTGTAGCTCAAACACACTAATAATCTAATAAAAATTTAAATTATCGGACAACATCAGTAATATCTATAGAAGAATCACCAAATATTATCCGCAGCTTCATGTCAGAAAACTAAAACTAAATAAACATGTCATAGATGACAGAATTTTTATGAGTGATCAAATGCAATGCGATAATAAATGCAAAAAAAAATGTCACCTATAAAACAAATAATAAACATTCTAGAAAAAAAACACAAATAATTGAATAAATGCACACATACAGTAATGCAATAAATACAAAATAAATACAGATATAAAACAAATATTGTATGCATTTCTATGTGATGTCACAGCTCACAGAAACACACACACACACACACACAAACACACACTCCCAGCGGCCACATCAAACTCCAGCCAAAAGCTCTCATCATCTGCTCTGATCTCCACGGCAACAGCAGAGTTTAAATCAAGTTAATGGAGAGCTGAAGCTGTGCGGGTCTCTGACAGAACAAAACAAACAAACATCCACATCACACCTGCATCCACACACACACACACACACAAATCTGCTCAGGTGAAGCGGGATTACAGGAGCCTGGAGGACAAATGTGCAGTTCTGCAGACTTATGCTTCACAAACACTCGCACGCACGCACGCACGCACGCACGCACGCACGCACACAGGTATTTTTATTCGTTAAAATAAAAAAAAGAGCACTCCAATGTTAAGAGCACTCCAAACCAACAGGGGGCGACACTGATATGCTGAGTTCACATGAGGAGTAAATTGCACACAAATCTAAATATAAATCTTCACCCAGGCCAGAGTTTTCAGAAAGTTTCAGTCACACTATACTGTGCTTTCATCAAGTTTATTATAATTAACAAAAACAAACAAAAAAAACAAAAACTAAAATTAATACATTTTCGTCAACTAAAATAAAAATAAAAACTAGAATGAACTGAAACTGTATTCTTGTGCATTCAACACTAACTCAAACTAGCTAAAATTATAGCAAAGCCCGGCTTTCTTTGTAAAGGTATTTACAGTTTTAGCAGTAAATCTATTTCATTTGCACTGCCGGGTGTTTGATCCTCGCGGCACCAGAGAGTCTGTAATCCTGCTGCCATCAGCCAGATCAAGAACTGAACCATTTCAAACTATTCACGTCACCCAGGGATGCACCGATACCACTCAACAGTAATGCACTACATGAATGTGATTTGTAGCCCTACCTGACGTCAATGTCTTAATGTATTAATTAATGTATTATATAAACAGCTTAGTACTTATAACAATCCATTTACAACTATTCAAGTCTCCTAGGGATGCACTGATACCAGTATTAGGTATCGGGTCAATACTTGGGTTAAAATACTCATACTTGTATTGTACATGAAAGGCCGATACCACTTTGATTTGTTGCCCTACCTGACATCAATGTCTTTATGTATTAATTAATGTATTCTATATAAATAGCTCAGTCCAGGGGTGTCAAAACTCGGTCCTGGAGGGCCGGTGTCCTGCTGACTTGGCCCTGGCTTAGTCCTTATAAACAATCCAATTATAAAACACAATATAAACAAATCTACAGGCGACTGGAGAATAAACTGAATATGAAATATGATCCTTACATAATGATCTCAGCTAAACAAGCTAGCACTCATTTTATATATAAAAATGAAAGAAATTATTAGTAATGGAACATTATTAAAAAAAATCTAAAGAATACAGGCTAAATAAAAGCACCTCATCAGAGCTGAACATCACTGTGAACGGACCCTTAAATCTGTTATGAGAGCAATAGTGTGGTTGATTGATTGATCTGCAGTGCTGAACTGTTTATCGGTGTGTGTGTGTGTGTGTGTGTGTGTTTTCTATATCAGTGTGTGTTTTGTGAACCCGCGAGCGAGCGAGCGTTCCTGAACACCCAACCATCCTGTTGCCGTGGTAACCATACAGACCCAGCAGCGGCTCCTCGGAGACACCGTTTGAGATGCAGGAGGAACACAAGACACAAATAAACTACAACTAATGTGTGTGACAGAGAGAAACTCCCTCAAACTAAACACACACACTGATGCTCTGGACTGAGGAGCATGACACACACACACACACACCAAAACAATGATCATCATTTAATTCAATTGATCTTTATTTGTACAGCGCTTTTACCATGTAGATTGTGTCAAAGCAGCTTCACATAGAAGAGCATAGTGAATGTGGTCAGTGTCAGTCCTGTGTTCAGAGCTGAAGGTCAGTTCAGTTCACTTTTAGGCTCTGAACTCTGACATACAGTCCTGTAAGTGCAATTTATAAGAAATGCAATAAAATGAAACCTGATTATTCATTAAAGTTAACTCTATCATATATTGCCAACAATATACAAAATGCAGAATTTATTATTTGACTATTTGTCAAGTTTTCAATAGCTGAAGTCTAATATTTCCCAAATGATGTTTAACAGAGCAAGAAGTTTTCACAGTATTTCCTTTAATATCTTTTGTAATGTAATGTGCATTTAATATAGCGCATATATCGTGAGCGCTTCATGAGGGGGTTTCTCCACACCAACACCAGTGTGCAGCTCCACTTGAATGGCACGACGGCAGCCACAGGACAACAGCGCCAGAGCTTCACCACACACCAGCTATAGGTGGAGTGGAGAGACTGTGATTGAGGCAATTCAGTGGATGGAGATGATCGGGAAGATATGATCTTAAGAGCCGATGGAGGGAATGTGTCCAGGACACTGAGGTTACCCCCCTACTCTTTACCAGAAGTGCAATGGGATAATTATTGAGCACAGAGAGTCAGCAGCTTAGTTTAACGTCCCATCCAAAAGACGGCGCTCACTGACAGTATAGTGTCCACTTCACTATACTGGGGCATTAGGACTCACACAGATCACAGGTTGAGCGCCCCCTGCTGGCCTCACAAACACCACTGTCTCCCATCCAGACACTGACCCGGCTCAGCCCTGCTCAGCTTCAACGAGTGACTGCTCTCAGGCTGCAGGGTGATATGGCTTCTGGAGAAAGTCTTATTTGTTTGATTTCGGCTAGAATAAAAGCAGTTTTTAATAGTTTTAAAATAATTTTAAGGTCAATATTATTCTCCCCTTCAGCAATATTAGTGTTGGATTGTCTCCAGAACAAACCACTGTTATACAATGACTTGCCTAATTACCCTAACTTTACCCTAATTACCCTAGTGAAGCCTTTACATGTCACTTTAAGCTGAATACTAATCGCAAATTATGCAGTAAAATATTCTGTACGGTCATCATGGCAAAGACAACAGAAATCAGTTATTAGAAATGAGTTATAAAAACTATCATGATTAGAAATGTGCTGAAAACATCTCGTGACTTCACCAGAAGTAAAATAATTTCACAAAAAGGCTAATAGATTTGCCTCCAACTGTACGTCATTATAGATGTGATCCACACACTGATGTTTCCACTTGTTTGATCTCGTTACAAGCAGAATGAACAGCACTAAAGAGTCTCCGTGTGTGTGTGTGTGTGTGTGTGTGTGTGTGTGTGTGTGTGTGTGTGTGTGTGTGTGTGTGTGGGTTAATTGCATTATAAATAGTCCCAGTGAAGGGATTTGTCTTGCTAATTAGTCTTGCGCTGGTGTTTTCCACCGTCAGCTCTGTAAATGTCAGCAGCTCATTCAGTGTCTGCGCAGGTGAAACGCTTCACTTTCATTCTCTGCTGTTTGTTGAACATCGCCGTCAAACGGATGAAACCAGCCCTTAATCTTCCACAATCAAACACACACACACACACACACACACAC